TTATTCATCCCAGCTATGGGTGGCATCTCGCTCCTAGCCCCTGCTCCTGGGTGCTAAGTCCTACTTACAGCCAAAGAGTTGCCTTATTCTCCTTTCTTTTGGGGCTTCTAGGTCTTTCTTTGACAGCTCTGTTCTGTAGCTGACTTAATGGTCTCCCAGGCAACGTCCTAGCAAGGCAAAAAGGGAGGTGGGGTTCATCTGCTCGGCCCCTCCAGGCTCACGCTGCTTCTGACGGCGCTGACATCCGCCTCCGGAGAGGCAGGATTTGACCTTCACGTCATTGCTCATAGGCTGAGCGTGAAGTAGGATGGGGCTGGTCCAAGCCAGGGGTAGGAAAAGAGGCCACGGAGCCATCATGGGCATTGATCAGCCCTTGGCTGCTGTAATTAGTTGGGGGGGATTTGGTTTGCTCGGAAGGTGTCATCCGTGGGAGAGGGCTGCGCAGCTGGAGTCTCGAGCCCGAGGTGCCCTGGATGCCCGAGGAGATCCGTGCTGTGAGCTGGCCTCAAACATCTGCCAAGGGCTCACAAACTCCTGGGGCACCCGCAGGGACAGCGATGGGGACATGGACAGGATCCAGCCACCCATCCCCGTCCACCATCCCCCGGGACATCACGATCGCAGTGTTGTGACCCCCTGGACAAGCCGGAGACCTCAGTGCCCTGTGCTGGCAGCATCCCGGGGGGGGACGCCACATCCCTCAGAACTGGGGCCGAGAGGGTTTTTGTGCCCACAGCAAGTCAGCGATGGAGCCAGGGACAGACACGAAGGTCCCCAAGACCCAGCCCAAGGCACGACCCTTGGCTTTGGGTCCATCAGAGGAGCTGCTGGCAGTGAGGGGAGGGGAAGAAAAAGACCCCTTCTACCTAGGTTCCAGCATCGCCCTGTGCCAGCCAGGAGAGCCGCTCGCTCTCAGGGAGCTGGTAGCGGCAGCCCTTGGCACCCCTCGGCCACGTTTCATCCTGGGGAGCTGCACCAACCCGGTGAACCAGGACTTCGTGCAGGGACACACACCCGTGTGACCCAGTGTCCCACCAGTCCCACCACAGAGCCACAGTCAGTCACACCACATCCTGCTGCCTCAGTTTCCCCACCTGCGAAGCAGATGAGATGATGCCCTGGGCTAGGGTGTTTATTTTTTCCCCTACAAACCTCAGGTCTTTGCAGAAAAGGGAAGGGTCCGGGGGGTTGAGCGGCCCCCGCCGTGCCCACCCGCATCCCTGCTGCCGTCATCCTCTGAGCTGCATCCCTCCTCTGCTGGCTGCGAGGATGCTGGGGAGAGCTGATCCCTTCTCTTCTCCCTTGCAGGCACCACCTCCGAGCCCGCACTGTTGCCATTCCCAGGTGAGATTCATCTCTTCAAGTCGCTTTTTTCTAGGAACTTTTGTAGTTGAAAAATGCTTTTTTTTGGTTAAAAACAGGGTTTGGGGAATTTCAAAAGAGAAGCATATTGGTTTGGAACAAAAAGCGGCAACAAAAAGCTAAACTTCTTTTACAGAAAGGAAACAGAGATTCTTTATTATCCCTGTTCCACTTATTTTGAGAGGGGAATTTTGCCACCTCCTACTGAGTCCCTGTCCCTGTGCCATTCATCACGCCCAAGCAAATAATTCCCTTGACGTGGCAGGCCAGGGGCGCTTACACGCCTGCTCCCCACCGCCAGCAGCTTGAGAGATCATCTCCATCCCACCAGCTCCCAAGAGGGACTAGGTCCAGACACGTTCATTGAGGCTAATAAGAATTTGCTAACTGTATTTTGTCACTTGTCACCCATCATATGACATCACGTGATGCCACGTATTCGCTTTCCTCTTCTCCCGTTGGGTTATTGCCCAGGCCATTAGCAGGCAAGATGATGGGATGATGGTGCATCTCATTTACGTGTTGAGATGTATTGAGTCCTCATGTCTGCTGCTTCCAGCAGATGAAGAGAAGTCCATGCCCCACCATCAGGTGGGTGGCACCAAGCCAACATCTGCCTTGTGCTACAGCGAAGGCTCACCTTTTTGTTTAAGGAGCAGAGATTTGGAGCAGAGAGGGCTCACACCCTCCCCGTGACACCCACCCGGTGTTTGTCACCTCCTGGCCCCGGGGGCCTGCTGAGGGACCTCTTTCTGCCCATCCTTCCAGAAATACGTCTTGCCAACGGACCCAGCCGGTGTCAGGGGCGAGTGGAGATCCTCTACAATGGTTCCTGGGGGACGGTCTGCGACGACGACTGGGACATCGTGGATGCCAACGTGGTGTGTCGCCAGCTGGGCTGCGGCCATGCCATCACCCTCCCGGCCGCCATGACCTTCGGCCAAGGGAGCGGACCCATCTTCCTGGACAACGTGGACTGCAAGGGCCGGGAAGAAGCCTTGAGTGAGTGCTGGAGCCACGGCTGGGGCATCCACAACTGCTACCACTACGAGGACGTGGCTGTCGTATGCAACGGTAATGAGGTTTGGTTCCTTGGGGGCAAGGAGAGCAGGGGGGTTGCCTGTGGTGCCGCAAGCTTTGGTGTCTGCAGATGCCTTGGAGGAGCCCAAGAATCGTATCTCAGAGCCTGGGTCAGCCAAACCTCCTCTGCACCCTTCCTCCAGCCCTTTCCTCAATCCAGGTCATCTCCCAGTTCGGCATGCTGGTGCTCCATAAGGTGACCAGCCCGTTTTGTGATCCCCGTCACTCCCAGCTCAGGGACTTTGCAACCTCTCCAGCACGATCCCTGGGGAAAGAGCACATGCCCACCCACGCTCCTGCCTCTGAGTCAGCCGCTGCCCAGCTGCTCTTTCCCCTTTTGACTTGTCTGTCTTTAAATTGCTGAGCTTTGCAGTAGGAAATGTTCCTAAAGGTGAGAAAAGCAGGGGAAAGCATTTGAACTTGGCAAGTGAAAGTGGAACGGCTCCGTGCCGACCCCTATATACCCTACACCTTCCTCCTGCGGAGCTACGTAGGGTTTGCTCATCAGCCGCTACGTAGGGTTTGCTCATCAGCCATGCATCAATGGTCAGTAGACGTGAGGCTGTGCAGACCCAGAGCTCGGCCATGGCTGCAAGGGCTCGGTGAATCCCTGCGTCCTACAGAAGGGGGGCTTGGAAAGGGAGGGATGCTGGGTTGGCTGGTGGGTTGGCACAGCTGCAACCAGAGAAAGGAGGTGGTGGATTGAGCAGGAACCCTGAATCAAGGTGCTGCTGGAGAGGAGAGGTGGAAGGGTTGAAGAAGGAGGTGGGGGAGATGGATCTGAGGGCAGAGGAGCAGCTTGAGCCATCGGGTGTTCATAGCTTGGTTGGCGAAGGAGACCAGGAGATGCTCTGGGGTGGCCCTAGAGGAGATGCAGGAGTTTGCCCCAAGCACCAGCCCCCTAGGGAATGTTGGAAGGTTTCAAGAGCCGGCTTTCTGTTGGTTGTGGTTATGGAGGAAAGTGTGGAGCCGGGCAGCTCTTCACCGTGTCGGTGGGCTGGATTTCCTGGGATGCTTCCCGCAGCATTTGGAACGTGTGTGGTTGGCGGTCGAACCACTCGGCTCTGCTCCCATCCAGCTCCCCACACCACCCCAGATAATTTCACCAGCCCAGCCGAGGAGCTGAGACAAGACGGGCAATTTGGTAGCTTGAAGCAACACTGTTGGCAAAAGAAATACAGGGAAAACTAGCAGGAAAATCAAAATATTACTGGTTTAGCCTAGGTCCTCATGCCATGCTGCCAGGCACAACTTCCCACCGTACCAGCAGCCGAGGTCCTGGCTCCATCCACTTTCCTGCACCCACAACCAGGCAGATGGGTCT